AAAAAAAAAAAAAAAAAAAAAAAAAAAGGAGAGTGAGAGTGAGGATGATGTGGGCTTTTTATATGAAGCCTAATACATTTTGGAGAAAGTCCTCCTTTAGGGACTCCTGCATCTTCAAATGCTCTTGGAGAGAAAAGCTCTCTATAGCAATTGCCATATCTGAAGGCAAACCAATAGTGCCCTTTTATAGTATGGAAAATGGTTGCCCCTGCCCAGTTTTAATCACATTTTTGCTAAGTGTCCCTTGGCAAGTTACCATTTTCTCAGCATCATCCTATCTGCAATTTATGGTTAACAATAGTGGCCTACTCCTATAGCATGTTTATATGAACTATTGCGGTTTCTTGGTTTGTATAAAATCTGCATATCATCTTAAAACTGCATACCATCTTTCTCACACAAGAAAACTCAAACCAAATGAACAAAGATGTATAATGCAGTTAAATACAGTCAAGGGAGAACATTTGCTTCAACATGTACCTGTCAGCTTTTGTCTGTCTGGCCTATGGAAAACAGCAGATTTTGCCTCCTTCACAGCTGATAAATCATCTTTCTGAGCTGGTAGGCACATTTGGCATTTCCAGAGTATCTCATGGGCAGTGTCACAAAATGACTGCTGGAGGCCTTTTCATTTACAAAATGGCAGCTGTGGGGAAACACTAGCATTGTTGGATATAAACATGATCTTGGAAGCTGATGCTTTGCTTTCCAGCATTCTAACTTCCATTTTTTAAAAAAATTAAAAGACCTTCTGAAAGTTAAAAAAAAGTCACACAGGCACACTGGAGCCCAGGGGTCATACTTAGCTAATCTTGGCTGATCTCAAAAAAGTTAAGAGGGCTTAGGCTTGGTTAGTATTTGGGTGACAGACCAGCAGGAATGCCAGAATTGTAACTGGATGATCCATAAACTTTGTAGAAGAAGGCAATGGCAGATTGTTTCCTATTGTTGCCAAGAAAACTGTATCATCTTGTCCATGTTGTCACCAGCAGTTGGACTTGGCTTGGGGGAATCTATCTTTTTTACCTTATTTATGCAGCTTTGCTAAAGCTTTTCTATAAGGCATTTTTCTCTCTTGGGTAGAAAACAAGGAGATCTAGGCTGGGGAGAAGTTACTTGTTATCTAGTTTGGTTGAAAACTCCAAATCCTATAATTATAATGTTTTTAAACTAAAGTAATTCTACCTATGTTTTTGACAGAGATAATTGTCTCTTCCACCTCCATCCCTGCATATTACAAACAAGCTTTAAAAATATGGCAAAAATGGACATATTTGAAATCTACTTCCAATAAGCTTTTAGAAGTCATAGTATACAAGCAACAAGTCAGTGAAGCCCTGGCAGATCTTTTGTTGAATTGTATTGGGACTGTTTGCAAAGTGAAGGTTCTGTTCATGAATAATGCAACAGCTTCTCCCCTGGAAAATTCTGCCTTCTGAGAAATAATTAGCAATATTGTTCAACATGTTGTATATTAACAGGGAAGCTGGTGAGACCACTCTATAGCAAAATTAAAAGCATGATGTGAATGTGACCTAATAATTCCACATAATTTATTGTGTTCAGTTCTGCAACCAAATTAGGGACTTCATCCACCACAAGGAAGAGCACAAAGCAGTTCTATTGGTTCACGTTTTGCCAAAAATAGCTTGGTTATTCATTCTCCAAAAAATGGGACAGCTTTTGCCAAATTTGATGGAGGTTTTGGAAGATAATACAGATAATAATGAAGTACTATAGTTTCATGAAGGAAACATTTATGTTTATCTTGGGTTTTCTGGATCACCCATCAGCCCCCCTCAAATTTTCATATTCTCTGCTCTTTTTCTTCAAACTTCATTTATCAAGCAGAACCCTTTTATAGAAAAATCCCTCACCTAAAATATTATATTGTAATATCCTCAAGTGGACAAGTTCGGCATATTTTCTCAAGGATGCAATTTGAGTGAAGGAAGACTATAACTTGTAGCCTCTTTCTCTAACCCTTCTGAGTTCATGTCTGAGTATATATGCCTATTTATTTATTTTACTACAAGTACTTTTATGCCACTTCAATCAATTTAACCAGCATACAAGCACAACAAAATACAACCCTATAACAAAAATGAATAACATTACCTAAAAATATAACCATCAATAATCGTCTTTAATTCTATTTTTTTATGTTGTATGGACATGGTATAATAAAAAAACAATAAATCTACTAAATGAAAAAGCTAATCCATCCTCGGTGAATGCAAGACTCTTTTGCTATATTGCCAAACAGTATAGATACCTATGATGTTCCATTAAATGGCCAAGGCTTTTAAAAAATATATATATTAACAATATACAGTAATTGCTTTCTTTTTCTTTGTTCTCTGTTTTTTTTAGAGTGAGCAATAGATTTGGTGCCATTCTTGCAGATGAAATGGGTTTAGGAAAAACACTGCAGTGTATTTCACTCATCTGGACACTCCTGCGTCAAGGACCTTATGCATGCAAGCCTGTAATAAAACGAGCCTTGATAGTTACTCCTGGAAGTCTGGTGAAGAACTGGGGAAAGGAATTTCAAAAATGGTTGGGAAACGAGAGAATCAAAGTGTTCTTAGTTGATCAGGTGAACCAAGGAAGGAATTGCACTCATATCCTTAATAACTATTTTAGATACTTCTCAAATATTTAGATGAAGTTCAGTCCATCTTTTATTTATTTATTATGTAAATAAATATTTATATAGGACCATTTTAATTTAATTTCATTGTCATGAGCCCTCTGTTTTGTTACTTCCCTCTGTGGGACAATATAATCTAAATGTAACTTTACATTCCTTCTCTTCATCTACTTCCTGGGCTCACGGGAAGCACTGAGCCAGAATGCGGAGACCGTAGCTTAGCATTATGAGCAGCCACTGGAGTTTATTTAACAAACTGTGGTTAAGTTTTAACTCAGTGTATGAATTATCCATTGGTAGTCAAATGAATGGAGCCACTCCAGGCTTGCAACTCAACTGGTTGAAAATACCTGTTTGTTTTCAGTGCTTGTGATTAAAAAATAACTTTTTAGTACAGACATTTTCCTTCTTTCATTTCTTCCTAAAAGCAGTGGCATGGGAATACTGTATGTGCTGAAATGTCCAGTTGTTATTAGTAGGAAAGTGGATAGGAAAGAAATGAACCTAAAGGTGTCCCCAAGTTGGATATTGGAGCAGAAGTCTTTTTCATTGGTATTCAGAAGTAGAAACTAGACATTGGAGGCATGCAGCAGAAAAATAACTAATGTTAATAACTAAATTAAGCTAGTCATTCCATCTTATTTTCAGTGAATGTTCATAAATTGTCTTATTTGTCAATGAATGTTCATAAATTAACTCTGAGTAATACATGCATTTAAGTGTATGTGTAAGACCTACATTTAGGCATGGATTCATTTTTATTTAGAATGCCAGCCTTTCCATTCCCACAAAACATTCAATTTTCTTTACGATCTTCAGGATCACAAAGTGGAAGAATTCATCAATTCCCCCCTTTATTCAGTCCTGATCCTTAGTTATGAGATGTTTCTACGGTCTGTGGACCAAATTCAGAAGACAGAATTCAGCCTTGTCATCTGTGATGAAGGTCATCGTTTGAAAAACAGTTCTATTAAGACAACTGCTGCTCTTATCAGCCTCTCCTGTGAAAGAAGAATTATTCTTACTGGTGTGTATATCATTATTCACTTGCCAAGAGCTTTTGGAGAATACAAAAAGTGCTTGTTACAATGAAGAATATAGCTAGAAACAAAGCAAAACATTCTCAGGATTATATCTGAAAATGGTGCTTTGGTATACAAAGTTGTGGTGTGACCTGAAATTGTTGTTTAACCTACAGTAAATAAGAATTTTAGATTTGTTGATCCCTCATAACGTGGTAATATAAAAATGAATAAAATTCTAATTAGGGAAGGAGGCCCGTGTGTGTGTGTATTTGTACCTTCGAGTCATTGTTGACTCCTGGTGACTGCCTGGACTAGTCCCTGCAGTTTTCTTGGCAAGATTTTAAAGGCATTTGCCATTGCCTGCTTCTAGGGCTGAGAGAGAGTCTCTGGCCCCAGCTGGCTTTGTGCCTAAGGCGGGACTAGAACTCATGGTCTCCCTGTTTCTAGTCTGGTGCCTTAGCTACTATACCAAACTGGCTCTCTTGTATTATTTACTAAATTATGTTTTGCCTCCCAAGGTACTCCAGTACAAAATGATCTGCAGGAGTTTTATGCTTTAATAGAATATGTAAATCCTGGAATACTTGGTCCTTTGTCTGCATACAAAAAGGTGTATGAGGAGCCTATTCTCAGATCGCGAGAACCTTCAGCAGCTAAGGTCTGTTATCACTACAACTGGAATTTGAGATTTCTGACGGAGTGGATAAAATTAAGAGGCATGCAGGGTTTCTTTATTACTGGAGGAATAAGTAATTGATTGTTGTTAGAGGCAATGCAAACCTTATATTTGCATTATTATATAACTACAGTTACAAGGAGTAACCACTGAAGGCTTTCTTAAAAAAGGGAGAGGAAGCTCTCTGTTACCAAAACCTTGATCATCTAGTACATGGAAGAGGGCCTTTCCATCCATGGCTTCCAACTTATGAAGTGTTCTTCCCAAGGTAGGGTGTTTAGCCCTACCCTCCCAGTATTTTGGAAAATGGCAAAAAAGTATTTATTTCACCAAGCTTTTAAGGTGTTAACTGGTTTTAATTATAGTGATTTTAACAAGTTTATTGATTTTATTGTCAAGTTTTATATTTTGTACTTAGTTTTATTATTCTAAGCTGCCTTGATTGCTTAGGAAAGCAGGGTACAAATTTAAGAATAAATCAGATTAAGACATTGAGGAGATGCTGAGTTTATGGCAAAATTGTTAAGTGCAAATCTGAGGAGCAAGGAAATATAAAATTTAAAGAACAGTAATTTAGACTGCAATCCTATTCCCAATAATTTAGGCATAAAAACTTTGTTTAACTGATTGGGATTTCTAATTAGAAGTTTATGTTCTGTCTGAACTCCAGAGAAAGGGAAAATGATACAAGAGTGCAAGGGCAGACACCAGAAGGAGAATTCATGAACTTTGGGAAGAGGGAGGAGAGTCATGGACAGGGTTTCAGACTCTAAGGAGTCTGTGTGAAGGAAGAGATCTTTTGATGGTAAGCAAGAACAAATAGAGGGCCATGGCAAGAAATTTACTCATATGAACTAATTGATAATCATGTTATTTCCTAGGAAGAAATTGATCTAGGTGAGAGGAGGGCAGCAGAGCTCATGCATCTAACGGGATTCTTCATTCTTAGAAGAACACAAGAGGTCATCAACAAATTCCTCCCCCCAAAAAAGGAGAGCATACTTTTCTGTCGTCCAGCACCATTGCAACTTGCTCTTTATCGAGCTCTGTTGAACTCTCAGGTTGTTAGAAATTGCCTACAAGGAAGTTTAGAGAATAGTCCACATTTAATATGCATTGGGGCTTTGAAAAAACTTTGCAATCATCCCTGCCTTCTTTTGAAAGCAATACAGGTATGCATATTGAATTCTGTTTGAACATAGATTCTTAGACAATCTATTTGGTGGGCATTTAAGTCTACAATCATTATAGATTTGATCTGATTTAAAATATGCATTGCTTTCTCCAACCAGCTCCTTCCAGAAGGACTCAGGGGCAATAACAGTTCCATGAAAAAGTCATACATGACCTCTCAATCAATATAAAAATCAAACATCAATATCCAAAATCACAATGATATGCCAATAAATAGTTCATCATAAAAATCAATAAACAGTATAAATATTCCTAATTGTCAGTAAAACTGAAAACAATAATGCTGTAGCAAGATGATGTTAACAAAATCTGATTAAAAAACAAAATACAAAAGAAGATCCAGATGAACCACCTTGCAATAGAAGCATATCTGCAAAGTAAGAAATAAATACCAACTTGAAAGGTCAACTGAAAGGTCAGTTGCAAGATCAACATGATGCAAATTATGTGCATCTATTGAAAGATGGCCCCATTTTACTATGGTAACCTCTCTTTTATTTGGGCCTTCCTTTCAGCCCTTTTCTCAGCTGTTACTGAGGGTTCAAATCTTTTCCCCTTACCCTGAATTACTATCTGAATAGTAGCACTCTTGCCCTGAGACCACCTCCAGGATATAATTCCTTTTGGTGTCATTCTACATTAAAGTCTGATCTTGGCTAGTCTGCCATGTTCATAATATCCTAGAATGGGGGTTGAACAGCTGTACCATTTTCCTGTTTTCTTGAAGCCAAAATCCCTTATTTTCAGATAGACTGACAGGATTGCCATTTCATAGCCTGTTCTCATCTGCACAAGTGAATTCTTGTGGAGTCATTACCCTATTGATAGCCCTTTTCCTACAAATGCTATTGCTTATTTATCAAAAAAAAAAAAAAAGATGGCTGTCATCAATGACATCCAAATAAATAGCATAAAATCTGGAGAAATACCTTTTGTTCTTCCTGCTGAATGTTGACACTGTCTGGCTGACTAAGAATCAATGAACTGGTATTGAACTGGGAACATTGCATAAGCATACATCGCTGACCATATTTAGTATATGTAATCCAATCTTCTGACATGGGATTTTGTACCTGTAATGATATGTGGGAATGACCTTGGGAGACAGGGAGAAGAGCCACAGCCAGGGCAACAGTCAGGTAAGAGGCAGCTGAGCCTGCAGAAGGAATGGGGGGGGCATGGCAAATGTCTCAGAAGGGACCCTCCCTAGTTTCTTGGCCTATAAAGGTGATGGGGAGAAATGTACTTTCAGAGTTGCAAGATTTTATTAATGTAACCTTACAATAGAGTAGAGTTAGTTCATCTGGGTGTGCTTCTTGTCTGGACTACCTTACAAGGTTGACAGTACCTCATAGGGATATGTAAATCATGGAGAAAATCTATCTCTGTGATCTCTAGGAGTCGAAAACAACTTGATGGCACATAATCAATTGAAATGGATATGTAAAACATATGGTAGATCTGCCATTTTTCAGGTGGTCCTTACCTGCACTCCTCAAGGATGGCTTAATTTGTGCTTGATTTTACTTCAGAGTAAGAAAAGTGGATAGACTTTGTGTGACTTTTTGCAAAAAAGTTCCTTAAAAAATGTGCACGTGGGTATATGTGTTTGTGTACTGAAAAGCATGGGACCATCTTGCAGCAATTTGGCATGGCAGTCTGAGCGGTTTCTCTCCCGTATTGCTCTTGGCATTTCCTGAAGCCAACTTTAAAAAATTCCAATCCATGTTTCAGTGGTTTGGTGGCGGTTTGGGCTGGTGCTTAGTCCGAACCATGGCAGCTGCAGGCCCTGATTAATTATTCCCTTGCTTCTTGCCCTGTCCATGCAGGGAAATTAAGCCTCATTGGCTATCTCTTGTATAGTCTGCCTTTTCCTTTTCGGAATTGCTTCCTTCTCACTATTCCCATTCTTTTTCTTTGCTTTTCCAGAGGCTTGTACCCATGGATGCTTTTATGCCCCTTCTCACATTCTCCTTTGGCCCTAACACAGACCCTTTCTTCCCTCCCTGACCCCTTCCCAATTGTACCATCATTGCTTGAATGCTACAATGATTCAAGCAAAGAGAACAGGATGTTCTTTATCCCTTCATTCTGTTGTGGATCTATAGAAACTATGGCAACACGGAATGGATAGTTCAGTTCATAGAAGCCAAGAAATAGTATTTGTTGAAACTTTACCGCTTTGTTCCAATGTGCCCACACTGCAACTTAAAGAGTGCGCGCTGGGAGATGTAAGATTAGAATAGAGGTGTACTGGTAGGAGACGTGGGGAAAACACAGTGGTTAGGAGACTTTACCATACTTCATGATCTTTATGGGCAATTATTAGAACAAGTGGAAGAGGAAAAAAAGGAAGCTGCTGAGCAGCTGAGAACATAGCAGCCCAGGATGAAATAGCCACACAGGGCAGTGACCAGCTGCTGAAGAGGAGGGGGTGTGCCAGGCTCTGTAGGTGATCGGAGCTGGGGATATCGTTAGACTGGAACGAAGCATGGTAGCCTAACTGCTTGCAAGGGCTCCAGATGCATCAGGATGGAAAACAGAACTTTTGAAGTGAAGTTTCAAAACATGGTTGGGAGACACATTTGCAATGGGCTCAGAGTACGTGGAAGATGAAGTAGTCCATTCTTGCATTGAGGAAATAGTGGGTGGTGTGTCCTGACAATGGGGCAAGCAGAAAGTGTGGATCTGGCTTTAGTTGGAATGTCATTGGAACAGCCAGCAAACTTTTCCAAAATTCTCTTTTCCATAGAAGAAAGAATCTGAATCTTCTTGTGATAATCAAGATCAGCCAAACCATTATGGTGGTTTATGTGATATTTTTTCTCAAGAAAGTGCTCAAACAAATTCCTGTGAGAGTGACTCAGGAAAGTTGAAGGTGCTGATGCAGATGCTGGCAGCAATTCATGAACTTGGACCTTCAGAAAGGTAGGAAGGAGATTTAATTGGATGCATTTTTTGAGTGCAGTCGAATCTTATGGTTTAGGCCTTTTTTCAACTGTTATGCTAGTTAAGACACACTCACTTTGTATACTGGGAATAACACAAGCACTCACCCATACAGATAACTTCTGGGTGGAATCAAAATGCTAATAAGTGGATTGTCAAAGGTCATTTGAAGAATTAATGACATACTGGATTAAACAAGACACATCATGGCTTATAATTTAGTTCTTAGCTATTGTTCTAACCACCTCCAGTGCCAAGGAATTTGGTAGTTGTTGTTCTTACTTTTCTTTAAGCTGATCTCTTCAGAAGACTGAGGTAAATTCTCATACCTTTTTTTAGATTTTTGCTCAGGAAACGTGGGTGAACTTTATTCATCAGTTACCAATTCTCTGTGTTCTTGTCTGATTGTTGTTTGTGGATGGATTGTACATTTATTTCAAACCTGTCCCAGGAAAAAAAAGATCCATCCGTTGTCTTTTAAAAACCCAATATTTCCTTGCCAGTAATTTTCCTACATTCTTGATAGCATGTTACTTCAGTGTTGGAGAATGGATGGCAGAGAGGCAGAATCTAAAATACAGCAAAAGACAATTCATTATTAACAAAGCGTACATAGAAATATGGAAATATAAACAGATGGTGTTTGTGCTTAATAACTTTAACAAACATTGTAGGTGGAGTAGTGAGAGAAAGATAGCTGAGGATGTGCCATTCCATATGTAAAATACAAGCTAACTTCCTTTTAATAACTATCTCTGGCATTTCCCACCAAATTCTTTCCCTAAAACCAAATTCTTTCTTTCTGGTCTAATCTCACAGATCAAATAAAGGTTGGTTTCACACGGGCTTCCTGGAGGAGCAAATGTTCTTCCTTACAGAAACAAAAGCAGAAATGCCCTCCCTGCTTCATGTCTGTTACAAAAGAAGTATACTGCATCTGTGCTATCTCCTCAGGACTCTGCCCGTTTCACTGTGGTGGGACTTGACTTGCCCCCAAAAGTCCCCAAGGCTTCCCATTGGCCTTCTAATACCCTTAGCCCTGTCATTTTACGAAGTCCACTAAGGCACCAGTGCTGTACATCCTTGGTTTAATGACATCTTCTCTTTGCTTCAAACTTCCAGTGTTCAGTCCTTCATATGAATAAATAGCAAGTACACAAAACGTATGGAGTACATTTTTCCCTCAGCACAATCTCCTTTAGAATAATTTTTTTTTTAAATATTTTTTTATTTTTACAACAAACACAAAACATACATGGACAAACA